TACTGGACAGCTGCTTCGTCAGCCTAGTTTTGGACTTCTCATCAGTACGCACCCAAACTGCGGGGTTCGAACTCAGGACTTTCTGATTACAAGGCGAGCTCATAGACCATTGAGCAACTGGGACCCGATCCAACGGCCCATAATTTTTAACTTCTGCCAATTCACGACACAGTGCGACCATTTCGCAATGTCTTCTTCGATGAGTTACTACCCCATCTTCAACCTGCTGTACCCTACTGGTCTAGTTGGAAGCCGTGACCAGTAAGGTGCAGCAGGTCGGGTTTGAGGACAAATACTCGCCGAAGACATTGGCTAGAGGTCACGCTATGTCGTGAATCGGCAAAATTTAGAATTCATGCACTGCCTGGTCATTGGAAAGGGTCCGAGTGGCTTAATGGTTTACGAGCTAGCTCGCCTAGTAACCAGAAGGTCCTGTGTTCGAATCCTGGTGGCTGCGCACTGATGAAGAGTTCCAAACTGAGACGAAACAGTTGTCCGGTACTCCCAATAGGTTTTCCAGTGGTTCTCTAACTGATGTCAGCTCATGATGAAATCCTCCATTCCTATATTATCTGATTAATTATCTAAACTTGATAAACCTCATGTACACACACACATACACACAAATAATAAATTTAAATGCGATTGTACAGCTATGTGAATGAATTCGTCGTCGAAATGAGTCTCTTCGCTAAAAGTTTTCTCTTTTTCATAAAACTATTTATATCGATTTGTATACACATACCAGATTCAGATAAATATGTAAGAGAATACTAATAATTTAAAAGTTTTTGTTCAATATCTTTTCACTAGCATACACACATTTCATCCTACCTACAATAAATAATGAAAGAAGTTCAGATTCTACAGTATTCACGAAAATGTAATCAAATTAAATCAATTTAATTGAGGTTCTTATTAGCTTATGAATTTAGGAAGTGTGCGCACGCGCGTGTCACACACACAGACAGGAGGAAAGTATATACATACAAAAGAAAACTCTATGGATCATCATATACATATATATAGTCATATTTGTTGTAATGTAGTACAACATTATGAATTATTCAACCACTGGAGGGAGGCCGACTGAATGGTCAGCTCAAATGAATTCCAATTTGTACCAATTTATGGAATTTAGAGCGACCACCAGCCAGCCATTGTGGATTAAGACAAGTACAACAACCTTGCGAGTATTGGTTTGCAGGGATTTGGTTGATTGGTTACAGGATTTCATCATGAATCGAAATTGCTTACAAAACCATTGGAAAACCTGGGGGTACTGGATAACTGTTTCGTCCTGGTTTGGGACTCTTCAGCAGTACGCACCCACACCACGGAGTTCGAACACAGGACCTCCTGGTTACAAGGCGAGCTCGTATACCATTAAGCCACTGGGACCTGATCCAATGGCCCATGAATTCTAACTTCTGCCAATTCACGACATAGCGTGACCCCAGCCAATGTCTTCGGTGAGTATTTGTCCTCACACCCAACCTGCTTACTGGTCACGACTTCCCACTGGAAGTGAAGGTAACTACCTACCTGAATAGGGCGAGTCGCCAGTGAGCATCTCATTGATATTCAAGTATTGGTTTGCAGGGATTTGGTTGATTGGTTACAGGATTTCATCATGAGTTTACATTGGTTAGAGAACCACTGGAAAACCTGGGAGTGTTGGACAGCTGTTTCGTCCCAGTTTGACACTCTTCAGCAGTACGCGCCAACCGGGGACAAACACTCGCCGAAGACATTGGCTAGCGGTTGTGCTATATCGTGAATTGGAAGAAGTTAGAATTCATGGACTAACCATTGGATCGGATCCCAGTGGCTTAATAGTATGCGAGCTCGTTAGCCTTGTAACCAGGAGGTCCTGGGTTCGAACCCCGCGGTGTGGGTGCGTACTGCTGAAGAGTCTCAAACTAGGACGAAACAGCTGTCCAGTACTCCCTGTTGATTTTCGATGGTTCTCTAACTGATATCAATCAAACTTGAAACAAGTCAAATCCTCACAAACGGTAGTGATCGTCTGCAGGACAAAGTTGCCCGAGTTTGTAATGGGAAGTCGTGACCACAGTTGGGTCCATCCAATTGGAAGTGAGAACAAATACTCGCCACGAATAGAACTGTCTGCTATCAGTCGCGCTAAAATCACGAATTGGTAGAAGTTATAATTCCTGAGCTGGCCAGTGAATCGGATCCCAGTAGCTTAATGGTCTACAAGCTTTCCTTGTAACTAACAGGCTCTAGATTCGAAATCCGGTGGAAGTGTACGGCTAATAGGTCTCAAATTATGGATTATATCTAATATATACAATATACAGCTATTCAAAGCAAGTATATATGTGGTATTCATAAGAGAATACCCCACAAAAATTGATTATTTACGAATAACCACTTGTATTATAAAACAGAATACGCTTTTTAACAAGACTAGATAACTTGAGGACATTTATCAGTCAAACACACACACACAAACACGCCTTAACCTTGAACTTTATATATGTAATTTTCTTCTTCCTATTTTTCATCATACTTACTAAAAATGACCTCATTCAATGGAGAATCTTTTATCAGAATTGGTATACTTTAATAAGTATAGCCACTGATTTCCTGAGCGAATAACACATAAATACACAATCTCATCAATAAAATGACTTTTAGTTGTTTTCGTCCTGTTCGGGAACGCAGAAAGAAGGAAAGAAAGAACAGTAACACGGAGAACATGACAGTCAGTGAATCTGCACTAATGACGAACGATTTTAAGCCATACGACCAACAGCTCCAACCCAACCATTAGTTCTTAGCATCTAGAAGACTTCAACAAGGCAGTCTACACTCCATTAAGTGGATGAGATTCAAATAAACAGTCAAACACTTCATGTAATGTTGTCAGGTCTGACTACCCTTAACTTTCTTCCAACCTAATTCAGTTAACATTTCTAGTCGAGGAGGGCAGTGGCTCAGAATGCGCAACATATGTCCAATTCATATCTTAGTTAATGTAGCTTCATAAGCCATGAGCCCTTACCTGCCTACACTGTACTCGAACTCATGCAGCCAGGTGAGGGCTTACGGCGAGTTGTCATCTGAGGTGGTGACGACCAGTGGTGTCCGTCAAGGATGCCCATTATCTCCTTTTCTATTCAACTTCATCATAGATGTGCTAATGGACTTAACCCAAAGTGACTTCAGCGACTCAAGGATTGACTTGCCACCGGGGAATAATCTCGTTGACTTGGAATATGCAGACGATATAGTCCTTCTAGGCGAAGACGCTAAAATAATCCAGCAGAGTCTTCTAAACACCTTGAGCTGCAATCTAAGAATGTTTGACATGCGATTTGCTCCCGCCAAATGCAAGATGATGTTACAGGACTGGACTACTCCGACTCCTAGATTAAAAATAGGGAGTGAAGTGGTAGAGCACGTTGACCGCTTCGCTTATTTGGGCAGTACCATCAGCCAGTGCCAACGGGTTGACCTCTGACGAAATCTTAGTACGGATACAGAGGGCTAGTTTCGCAAATGGCAGTTTACGCCGTGTCTGTCGTAGAGGTGATATCCAACTGGCTGTCGACCAAAGAGCGTGTGTACAGCTCAGAAGTCCGCTCCGTCCGCCTTTATGGCTGTGAGACCTGGCCATTGAGAGCGGAAGACATGCAAAGGGAGGCTAGCTGCCTTTGATCAAAGGTGCCTGCACTCTATCTCCCGTGTGAAGTGGTGGTATGATAAGCTGAGCAATATTGAGGTTAGGCGTCGAGTTCTAGGTAAGCGGGGGAAATCAATCGACGAGACAGTGAAGCTACATTGACTGAGATGGTTAGGACATGTGTTACGTATGTCTAGTCATCGCCTTCCTCGACCGACGGGCAATGTTAGCTGACATATGGTCAAGCTGGAAAAAAGCTAGCGGCGGTCAAACCAAAACATGACTTCATCAGTCAATCAAATCCACAACAGTTAGTTTAAGCCAGCCACGTAGGAAGGTATAGACTTTCTGACTGGTTGGGGTCTTCCGGATGGTAAAATCCAATGAAGGCTGGAAACAAGTGGTGGTATGGCTCAAAATCGTTCTCAATGGCTGGTGCAGATGCGACCACTCCTTGTGACTTATGATTTCCAATGAAACTGTTTTGTTCTTCATTATTACTACTCCTTTGTCTCACACCTGTGTTTACTGTCTCTATTATGCTTTTCTTGTACTTTCTTCTCTTGCTTTGTGCGCTACATGGAGTGTGGCGAATTGAACTGCCACACATGGGTGCAAAGTTCTATGTCGAAAACAGACAGACAGACAGTTACCCTCTTTGTTTAACACTATTTAACACAGGATATAAAGTGTTATTATCCGTGATCAAAGGTGCTTATAGACTTTTTATACAACCTGATGAAGAATTTATCGAAAATATTACTCCATGCTTAATCTCTTCGTTCTCTAATCGACTTAATTGAGGAGTTTTGCAGTTTCTATTTCATTGGCAAAATCATTAGTGATGTCAGCTGATGATGAAATCCTCCAACCAATCAAACAAACAAAATCACTACAAAAAACCAATACTTGAAAATTGACCTGATGCACACCAGCGGCTGGCCCCTATTTAAGTAGGCAGCTACCTGGTCTTCTGGTAGGAAGCCGTGACCAGTAGGATACAGCAGGTTGAAAGTGAGGCAGTAACTCATCGAAGGAGACATTGCGAAGTGGTCGCGCTATGTCATGAACTGGCAGAATTTAGAATTCATGGACTAACCATTGGATCGGATCCCAGTGGCTTAATGGTCTACGAGCTGGCTTCCCTTGTAACCAGAAGGTCCTGGGTTCGAAACCCGCAGTGTCGGTGCGTGCTGATGAGGAGTCCCAAACCAGGACGAAACAACTGTCCAGTACTCTCAGCGGGTTTTCCAATGGTCCTACAATAACCAATACTTGAAAATATGACAGTAATTTAATCAAAACAGTCAAGTATAACAAGATGATTAAGGAAGTCAGGTGAACTTACTTGTGTTTTATAATCATGAGCTTTGTAATAATTATAGATACTTGTAACCAGCTTGACACCAGGATCATCTTGTCTCGAGAATTCTTTTTTACCATGCTTGGCTGTATACCAATCCAGTACTCGTCCAACAAAAGGTGAAATCAACGTGATCTTAGCTTCAGCACACGCCACAGCCTACAAAATTATATGGAAAATTAACAGGGTTCAATAATTCAGTTGACTAATAACATTATATAATGCAAAAAATGGATACATATTTGAAAGGTTGTCAATCATATTTCATGAGTATATTTTATATATTTATTTCTATTGTTGACAAAATGATGTTACTCGATCGTTGTCTTTGTTTTCCTACATCCTCCGAGTTCCGAGTAGAACCTACGGCCTCAAGCTTCGAAGTCTTAGTAGCGCAGGGGGTTTGCTTTATTTTATGCGGTCGGGTTACTAGCCCCACGCCCAAGCTTCCCTCTTTTCCGGGCTAACTACCGGCTGGTAAACTATTCGAGGTTTAAGATCGCCTCGAACGGCTGTTGAACCTGAACCTTCCACCGCCTGGCTGACGAGCATTATATCAATGAAGCACCTAGACTAATTGTTGTGCGGATGCAGCTGTAATGGTGGCGGAAACATTGAACGTTAAATGAGACGAGGAAATCATAATAACATGTCATAACACACCCACATCAAGTTCACGTTTAGATATGATGGGGAAGATTTGTAGCTCAGGTGGATGATTTTGATGTAGCTGTGTTCACTGAGCAACTGGATGGTTTATTTGCGAAGCTTTCATCATTGCCCTACTAGGCAACATCTTCAGCCCATACTTTTATTTGATGAAGTGAGCTTTTATATTTCTCCACGAGTTTATTAGTCATCTCTCCTGGTGACTTTGAACGTGACTGGTTGTTTTTGTGTGCTTTCACACCCTCTAGGCTACTTGCATTGGTAATGGTCTTGATCGGTATACTAGCTTGACCTGTAACCGGAAGGTCCTGGGTTCGCACTTGGCGGTGGGTGCGTACTGCCGAAAAATCCCAAAGTAGGATAAAACAGCTGTCCAATACTCCTTGGTTCTCTAACTGATATCAATCCGTGGTCAAACATCTGAATAAACCAAAAGTACTTTCATCACCTTTAATAACCGTGTATTAAAGTTATGTGTGTGAAATAATGATTAAGAAACAATCATTATTATTGATTTTGTGACCAGACATCAATCGAAAGAATTTCATTTTAGCCTAATCACTGCATGATTTTATTCAAGGTACGATTAAGCCGTTATTTACAAATTTTTTAAAAATAATACTAATAACAGCTTTATTCGAAACAGTAGTTTTGCTACAATATGGAATTTCCGGCCGGTAATACAATATCGCGTCTAATTACCTCATTACAAGGGCAATAATTATAATAAGCCACTTGCATTAATATATAAGTTACACTTATATTATTGCTCAACAAGAAGGGAATATAAAACTAAATCAAGTGAAAATATTAACGACAATGTGATAATGAGAACAAAAAGAGGAACGTTCACTTAGAGTTTCTCAGTAAGTCGGTAATTTCGTGCCTCACACTTTTCTCATCGCATAAAATGTCCGCCTGCCGAATACGGTATTGTAAAGTTTTTGTACTAGTCGTCGGAGTACACAGTCTTCTATAGTTGCTTCTAATTCCTATACCTGATAAGATGCAAGCAGAGAGTTGTGCATGGAGAGGATGTTCAAAATCTGACAGGATAATATTTGCCAATTTCTTGCAGGAATCCATGTGTCTATCTACAACAATATTAACGAGTTGGTTTAACAACATCTCACTCGCCTTACCAATGGCTTTTAGTGTCCTACGCAGTGGAACAAAGCCTTTCTTAAGTAGCCCAAGGAAGATTAAGGGGGAACAGTAACGAAGTAAAGGCAGAATAAAAGAATTAACAAACGGTGAGAGCAGAGACAGAATGACACTAGATCGTCGTAACTTCCTTATGTAGAACGTCACACGAAAGACCGGGAAAGGTGATCAGAGGAAATACATAGTCCAAGGTATTTAACAGTCTATTTGGTTTCAACTTGAGACACTGAAGTCTGTGATAGTGAGACCGTGCAAACCAACCAGCTCACGTAATTAACGATTGCATTTGAAAATGAAATTGACCACATGACTGACATTTGGAGGGATTTAGCTTAAGACCATTTGACGAGGACAACTGACTAATTTATGATAAGAATAAGGCATTAAGAAGACAAATTTAGCGAGATGATATCATTTCGTAGTTTCTTTACATCCGCTTTACAACTAACATGGTTAACAATAATAAAATAAAGTTCATGAAAATTACTCAGTTAAATAAAAAACAGAAGTACATACTAATGACCAATCATATTTAGATAGGTCATGTAGTCCAAGGTAGGCGAAGATTGAAGTCTATTGATTTTTGTACACACAGTTTAGGCTGTATGTGATTAATCGCAAAAGTGCTTCCATCACCTTCAATAACCTTGGATTAGAGTTATTTTTATGTTTTTCTTACGTTTTTTTATTTTTGACTACAGCTTGATTCCACATTGTATTTTTGGTACAAGTATGGAATTTTGCAGCATGGATATCGATAGCCCAAATTTTGCAGGCCGACCATAGATATCAGGTGTGCGTCGGCGTGTGCTCGAACCTCAGACCATGTGCATGATCGGCGAGAGTCCTAACCACTGTGCCACCGACGCACAGTTATGTGAAATAAGTGTGAAACAGTCATTAATATTGATTTTGTGACCTGACATTAATAAGTGTTTTGCAATGGATGATGCTGGATTTCTATTAAGATTAATCACGTTGGGATTTTCGATATGAGTTAGCAGCCATTTTGGAACATGTTCTTTTCGACGACATTGGAACATTCTGTTGGTTTTACCTATATAGTTGTTACCGCAGCTGCAGGTGAACTTGTAGATGCAGTATGAATTAGAGTCCACAGAATTTCGTTCTTTAAACGTAGGTACAGGGATCGAAAATGTTCGGCAAGTGAGAAAAAGAGATGTGGTGGCGTAGAATGTGAGATTGATGGCTGACCGAAGTCTTTGAGCTGCCAACTGCATAATCTGGTCGCCCTTTAATGGTAGGTTAATAAAGATAGCTTTCTTTGGTACAGAAGCTCTCTTTTTGAGATGTGGTCTTTCTTCACTGTGACTGTTTCACAATTATTTCACATAACTCTAAATCAAGGTTATTGAAGGTGATGGAAGCACTTTGGCGATTAATCACATACAGCCTAAACTGTGTGTACAAAAATCAATAGACTTCAATCTTCGCCTACCTTGGACTACATGACCTATCTAAATATGATTGGTCATTAGTATGTACTTCTATTTTTTATTTAACTGAGTAATTTTCATGAACTTTATTTTATTTTATCATTGTTAACCATGTTAGTTGTAGAGCGGTTGTAAAGAAACTCCGAAATGACGATATCATCTCGCTAAATTTGTCTTCTTAATGCCTTATTCAAATTTATCAAGGGGACTAATTGTTTTATTTATGATAAGAAGTTATTTATTTTGGAACAGTTTGTTTGAGAGGTGACAAGCATAGAAACAGTCATATCACAGGCATAATTAACAAAATTGGCTCCATCAGAATGGAGCAAGTCAAGAAAGACAAGAAAGAAAACAAAAAAGGAGAAACAACAGCTCCCTGAAGAACACAAGCTAGAGTGAGTGTAGCAGGCAGTGGAGGACTTCCCACTGTAAACAGTGTACTGCTTCCAATCAGAAAAATAGGAATGCAACCACTAAGTAATCCAGAAGTGTGCTTGTGATCCAGCAAGCTTTTTTAACGAAAGAGGCCTAGGTACAGTGTCGGAGACAGATGTATGGTTTTCTTTGTGATTTTATAACCTTCAGTCATTCTAGTTTGTAGATAAATATCTGAAAACGATGTGCTTCACCAGTGCTCCTATTATTATTATTTTTTGTGAGTGGAATACATGGCTTTAGCCGGACATCTGCATTCCCCGCTCTCATCTGTCTACTATTACTTTCAGCTGGCCCTTCAACTGCCCAAAAATTTTTATTTCATCTTCAAATGACTTCGTCTCGATGCCACCACCATCAACCCCGGACCCACTTCAAACCACTCATCGCTTCTCATTCAGGCTCCCCCATAGGCGGCTTTGGGTGTGATATCACTCATCGGTCTCTTAAGAGAATATCTAATACATCCCCATTTTCTTCTGTATATTCTTTGGGCGATGGGTTGTAAAGTAGTTCACTGTCTGACAGACTTCTTTGTCACTTAACATCTTCCGGTCGGTCATCTAATCTTCACTACACACAGAAGGCAGATGTTAATGAAAGTCTGAAGTGACCTATCGGAAGTGTTTTCACAGTGATGACCTAGCCACTTCTCTCGACTATACAGAAGCAATCTGTCTGTATGTCTGTTTTCGACATAGAACTTTGCACCGATGTGCGGCAGTTCAAGTCGCCACACTCCCTCTATGCAGCACACAAAGCAAGAGAAGAAAGTACAAGAAAAGCATAATAGAGACAGTAAACAGAGGTGTGAGACAAAGGAAGAGTAATAACGAAGAACAATATAGTTTCACTGGAAATCATAAGTCACAAGGAGTGGACGCATCTGCACCAGCCATTGAGAACGATTTTGAGCTATACCACCAATTGTTTCCAGCCGTCATTGGATTTTACCATCCCGAGGACCCCAACCAGTCAGAAAGTCTATACCTTCCTACGTGGCTGGCTTAAACTAACTGTTGTGGATTTGATTGACTGATGAAGTCATGTATTGGTTTGACCGCCACTAGCCCTTTCCCAGCCTGACCCTGTATCAGCTAACATTGCCCGTCGGTCGAGGAAGGCGAAGACTAGACAGGTATGCGTAACACGTGTCCTAACCATCTCAGTCTTTGTAACTTCACAACTTCGTCGATTGATTTCTCCTGTTTACGTAGCACTCGACCAATGCCTAACCTCGATATTGCTCACCTTATCATACCACCACTTCACACGGGAGATAGAACGCAGGCACCTATGATCAAAGATACCTAATATTTTCATGTCTTCCACTCTCAATGGCCAGTTTTCACAGCCATAAAGGAGGACAGAGCGGACTTCTGAGCTGTACACCCACCCTTTGGTCGATAGTCGAATATCTCGTCTACGCGAGAGACGGCCTAAACTGGCAAATGCGAAACTATCCATCTGTATCCGTACTGAGATTTCGTCAGAGATCAAGCCGTTGGCACTGGCTGATGGTACTTTCCAAATAAGTGAAGCGGTCAACGTGCTCTACCATTTTACTCCCTATTTTTAATCTAGGAGTCGGAGTAGTCCATTCCTGTAACATCATCTTACATTTGACGGAGCGAATCGCATGCCAAACATTCTTAGATTGCAGCTCAAGCTGTTTAGAAGACTCTGCTGGATTTTGTCAGCGTCTTCGCCTAGAAGGACTATATCATCTTCATATTATAAGTCAACGAGATTATTCCCTGGTGGTAGCAAGTCAATCCCTGAGTCTCTGAAGTGAGTTAAGGTTAAGTTCATTAGTACATCTATGATGAAGTTGAATAGAAATGGGGATAATGGGCATCCTTGACGGACACCACTAGTCATCACCAGTTCAGATGACAACTCGCCGAGTAGAGTGCCTAATCAGTGCAATGTATTTTCTCGGAGTTCCCTTTACAGCCAAGCATCGCCAGAGAACCACTCGGTCGACAGAATCGAATGCCGCCTTTAGGTCAAGGAATATAATGATTGTTGGGCGCCGTTAGGAATGCCTATGTTCTAGAATCTGTCGGGGGGGGGTTGAAGATATGATCAATACAGAAGCAATACCTTGACATTAGTGCTAAAAATGCTTATCTTGTTCCTAGTGTTGAGTATGGTAGGTCTCCACACTGATATCAGAGTAATGAACGTGACAACTGCTTCTATTACATGCAAGGTATTTGACAATTGCAGAATATGAGAAGTCTCAAATTCAGTCCGGTGTGAGATTTCATTGATTTTAGAATATAATTATGAAATAAATTCAACACTGACTGCTACTACTAATGCTAACTTAAACTAACAATCTCCAATAAAATTTAGACAAACTTATGACCAAAACCAGAACAGTGGAATCATATACAATTCAATTCTTTCAATTACAACTAAACAGACCTATGTCGTGAATTGGCAGAAGTCAGAATTCATGGGCCATTGGATCGGGTCCCAGTGGCTTAATGGTATACGAGCTCGCCTTGTAACCAGAAGGTCCTGGGTTCGAATCCCAGTGGGTGCATAATGCTGAAGAGTCCCAAACTAGGACGAAACAGCTGTCCAGTACTCCCAGGTTTTCCAATGGTTCTCTAACTAATGTCAGCTCATGATGAAATCCTGAAACCAATCAAATCCCTACAAACCAACACTTAAACAGACCTACGCATTCATCAAGGAATGAGGGTGTAGCTCATCAATCTAGGCGTTCAACTTCTAGACAGTAGGTCACATCCAGCTTTAGCCGACCCGCGATGGTATAACTAGACCTCATACATAGAAGGTGTGGGTCATTATCAACGGCATAGAATTCAGAGTGGTTTTTGAGTAAAAACACTGAGTTCCATTCATCAAACTGCACTGAGATCAGCGTTAAATGTACACAGATAAACAATAAGATTTTGAAGACGAGGAGTGAAAGAAGCGACTAATTCAACTACCTCACTTATTTGCATATAGCACTAAACCTGAGAGCCTGATTTATGTTTGTTTATTGGTCCATGTTGACTAGGCACTGAAATCAGGTAGAGAGCCACTCAAAATCAAGAGACCCTAGAAAAGTATTTCGTATCTAAGGTTAACACGTCTGATTAAACTTTACTACCCGGAACAGATATTTCATGCACCGGACTAAGAGCCACTTTTATCGTGTTAGGTCTGGGCGTGGCACTCGAACCTGTGACCGATCACGCTGAAAACCGAGTGCTTAGGCCACTACGCCACATCTCCACCTCTGAGATTAATACGTTAAAAGAATACAACTTCTAAGTTAATATATTCCATAACTGAAGTTTACCAGAGCTGGCAACTTTGCCATGCAAAAGGATCCTAAAGAACCAGTTTTGATTGCATATTGTATTCGGACATCAAATTAATTCTCATAAGCTCTGTCGGAAAATAATTACAATACTTCTCAGTGTAGATCTAATGTAGAAGAAATAGGAATCTGCTATATTGATATCAACCAACACACATAATTGTTATGCAAGTTAATAGTACTCGACAACTCTGAATGCTTAGTTACTTCTATTCCTGATAAAATATTGGTTTAGTAATTCTGAAATTTTATGGAACATAACCGAACAAACTGTAAATCATCCTTTATTAAGTAGTTTAAGTTTGGACAATCATTTCGATAACCTGAGTATATGTTACGAAGATTACCTCAGTAGCTCTTGCAATACTGTCTTTCTGCTAGATTTGGAACTGGTTAAAAAGGCCTTAGACCAAATGATTATAATATAATAATATTTTACGAAACACTTGTTTGCTAGCTGGGATTAATACATAGAATAAATATCGGCATTTCACAACTGTTGTGTAATGTCGTTTAGAATAATGCGCATATCTTTACAACACCACAGGGTATCAACACTAACATGACGCTTTTATATTTATTTTATTTGGTCGAACAGGAACTTGGTACATTAACTGGCACCAAAAGATGCGCCACGCAAAATCTCATGCTTTGTGTGAAAGCTGGGATACTGTTCGGATACCAACACCGAAGTAGGTGAATCTCTTAAAGGGACACTCATCGTCGGAACTTCGACTTGAAGTCTGCTCTACAAGGTAGTAGGACAACGTTTTCATGGTTTTTGAGGAATGAAACAGGTTCATACCCCGCCCCGCAATTTGATCCGACTGGACGCTGTAGTCCATATATACCATAGTTTTGTAATCAAAGTTTTCCAACTACCCAAGGTAGAACCGCTTGTTCATCAGTCCGGCTGTAAGCACTAGACGTTTGAATTCGCCCTACCGTGTAAAAGGCAGTGAATAGAACATATCTGGCACAGACATATAACGCTGTAGGTGAAATATTCGTATATTAATAGTAATCAGCAGCAGCAATAATTAAACCAAGGTTAATCTTACTTGATATAGCGAAAACATCAGTGTCAGATTACAGTGTATCCCATGTTTTGATTCAAGTATTTCACCTGCTTTTATACCTTCCCAAGTAGAACTCAGCTTGATTAGGATACGTTCTTTAGAAACACCCAATTCTTCATACATTGCAACAAGACGACGAGCTGTTTCAACTTGCTTATTAATGCTAAATGAATATCTGTAAAAATAAAAAGTGGTAAAACGAAGAAAAAAGTGTAAAAGTGAAAGTGATAGTGGAAGGTAATAGACGAAGAAATGTAGAATAAGTAAATCATAAACAAACTTACTTAGCATCTACTTCAGTAGAAACACGTCCAGGAACAACTTTCAAAATTTCACAACCAAACAGGACACATATTCTCTCTACAGCTGTTTCAACTTGTTCATCTAGTGTTCTAATAATAACAATAATATTAATGGTAAGAAATCGTTTATAACACTAGGCGTTACTTTTGTTTCTTTGCATACTGAATAGCAGCATCTAATAAATGAGAATATTGCGGCAATTTGCATGCAGATAAAATTAAAGATGGATTTGTTGTTGAATCAACCGGTAGATACTGCTTCATAGCTATACATCGAGATAAAATGGAAAGAAGAATATGAATTTTTGAGTTATATAAGTCGCTTACATTCAAAATCTCCAGTGTCACCAACGACGATGGTATGTTTTTTCAAATGCTCCAATGTAGACGACATGGTTTCCAGATTAACTATAAGGAAGAGTGAAGCGAATACGGAAATCAATTTCGGAAAGTATACAAGTCAAATAATGAATAATGAATTTGAAAATACTGAAGAATACACGAAGACCAATAAAAGAATAACATAATTTCTCCAGCGGATGAAAACTGATTTGAAGTGTCTCAAGAAATAAGAAACAGTGGATGCTAATAAACTTATTTACGATCACGAACTAGAGGAAAGTCAATAATGGACATTGGTTCCTATTTAAGATGCATAAATTGAAGTGCCAATGAAAAGCGATTGGCTGTAGCACCGAGACGGAGTTTAGGATAAATGCTCCTCGGAGTACTTCACGATAGTTACGCTGTAGTATGGATTGACCACTTATGATTCTATTACTTTAATCACTGGTTAGCAACTGCCACAAGCTATTACAGCATTAACTCGTAAACTTGAACAATCACAGTTGGTTATTTGTAATTTATAAACTCCATGTGGTACATTAGACAAACTTCTAACTTCCGGACAGGACAATTTAATCTTCTGAAGACAGATGTTTCACTTCATTATGTTAGTTTCCCGACTACCTTCCCTAACCCAACGGAATTTGTTATCACGTAGACGTCTTAGTTTACTAAAAGTTAACTGATGAGTAATTTAACTAAGTGCGTACCAGTTGGACTTTATTCAGCCAGTTTGTTGTACTACAGTTATCCATTTCAAAAAATCCACCAATAACCTTACATAAAGTGAAAGTGTAGATTTAGCATGCAAAAAGGAAAGTGTACTAAACATATTTGAAGACCATTTACATATCACACACCACCTATCAAGTCAGCCTCAAGGAAACTTTGTTTTCCTTCGCAAGTTGTTAGCTACATTTCCACGCCAGGCCCAACTTTTTGGACGGAACGCTACTCACGTTTTAACCCACAATACTCATGGTCGCGCGGAAGTACTACGTCATGGTAATTTTACACTCAATTTGTTTAAATGATTTTGTTTCATAAGGCCTGATACATGTCATAAAACCAGTGTATGAGAAAACCCGTTGGGAAAATACATAGTCACATCAATCAATAGATTATCAATTAGATACAATCTAGTGAGAATGTAAGTGTAGAACATAAATGACAACTGATCGCTATCAGTGACCCGAGTTCTTCTTAAGTATACTGGGACCTACACGCAGTTTTCAGACAAAAGGGGATAAAAAAAACCGTTATACTTGCGCTGTGGTTTAAACTGGACAATTATTTATAAAACTGGGAGGTTATAGTACAGTAGTTCAGACAAGGTCTATTAAATCTTATCAATACTAAGGCTTTATATCCAGATATTTCCGGATGAATAAAACGTTACGAAAATCTTTTGACATATTTTTCATTTTAGTTATGGCGAGAAGTTACAATTGAAAAAATTTTGACCTAGTTTGTGGCGACTAAAATTTAAGATGTTTTCTTTATCTATGACTTCATTCTGAAATCATATTTCGTGATATAGGTTACGCATAGTTCTACTGTGAATTCAAAATCACTATGCTTACCGTCTCCAGATTTACAAATTGGTTCTTTGACCTTCAGAACGATGTCAGCCTTGACTTCTGTGCAGTAAAAGTAGCATTTAATGAACAATCTTGACAAGGGTACGAAATATTTTAAAATAAAGTGCAAAATAGATTTTATAGTTTAAAAGTCCCCCTTGAATGCGACAGAAATGTTCGAAATGACAATGGAAGGCTTTGTGAACTACCAGCGCACATAGCCGGCCCACTAACCGCCATCTTCAGGCTATCTCTCCTGAACGGAGTGCTTCCGCGTGACTGGAAAAACTCCATAGTAACCACGATGCACAGAGGAGGATCAGGGCAAGGCCTTCCAGACCACACACCTATTATTCACGCCATCACTTTAATCAAGACATTTTAAAGAATCATCAAGAAAAGCATCATGGCATATCTGGAAGACAACAACCTGTTATTCAGAGCACAGCGTGACCTCTGTAAAAACCTCTCATGCCTGTCGAATCTTCTCACTGCAAGAGGAAGCTGGGTAAAACCAAAGGACGACAGAAGACCAGCTGACGTCGTCTTCATAGAAGAGCCTTCGATGAAGTTCCTCACAAATGACTAATTATGTGGTTGGAAAGTCTCGGTATCAAAGGCAGCTTACTAAAATGGATTGGGGAATTCCTCATACATAGGAGGTAGAGGGTCAGCATCAACTCAAAACTCTCCCCTGGAAAACAGTGAGTAGTGGAGTGCCACAAGGCATGGAACTCGGATCTCTCCTATTTATTTTGTGTATCAGAGAGTTATCTCTGACTACCGATTTGCCTATGGTCCTATACGCAGATGACTCGAAAATCTGCAGAGAGGCAAAGAGCAACAGTAATAAGCTCACATTGCAAGATGGCCTCAACAAACTGTTAGAGCGGCTGAGAGAGTGGATGATCCCGGTCATTGTAACGAAATGTGCAGCCATGTGCAGGGGACATGCAAGCATCAACCCCTACGAACTAGAGGGAATAAAACTTCCTTAAGTTCAGATTCATTTGGATTTAGGTGTCATAGTCAGCCACCATTTATAAACTACAGAACACTGTCACGTGGTGGCTGCACATAGTTTCAAATCCTCGTGGGCGATTCGCAGAGCCTTTACTAGAATCCCCAGAGATATCGTCGCCTCCTTACATACATCTCTGGTGAGGTCGAGACTGGAAAAATGTATTCAGTTAGCCAATCCTTGTCTTAAAGGGGACTCACATGTTCTATAAAGAGTCCAAAGGAAGGCAACATGTGTGATTCTTGGCATGACTAATTTATTGTAAGAGGAAAGACTAGACAGTTTAAAACCCTTCTCCTTATCATACCGGAGGCAGGGAGGAAATTTAATTACAATGTTTAAAGTTTAAAATAAAGACTACGGACCTGATCTATTCTTTCTTTTCCCTCCCATTGGATGGGAACATCTTGGAGGACAGAAGAAGATTTCAAAGGTCAAAGAGAAAACATCGCTCTGGAGCACTGCTTCTCACACATAGTCATCATTCCTGAGACCCACTCCCAGAAGAGGTGGTATCTGCAACCTCAACTGATTCATTCAAGAAGGGTTTCGACAAGCACAGAAATTCACCAGAAAAGGATTAACATAGGCCTAGAAACTTTCATCCCCAAACAATAAACTTGAATCTGATATTAGGCATCTGCGTATTATAATTAAATCAACTATGTCCTCAACTCTGAACGGTAACACACCCATGTCATTGTATCGTAGAATATAGATGACTAACAAACACTCGACGTATCTGACCAACCAAGCGTAGGCACAGAGCAATTTATACCAAAGATAATAACATTCAAATAGTAACTTGAAACTAGAAATGCCTTTATTCGTGCAAGTCAATTTAACAATTAATCTCTCGTTTACACTGGGCTTATTCTCACTAAACTGACCAATATCTTTCGTCTTTTCAAATGCACCAATACTATCAAAGTCATTGCACAAGATACTTGAGTTGATGGGCGTCTGTTCCATTGTCGATGACAATACCAACGACGACTGATTGATACCAGTTGACGAAATTAGCGGTGGATCAGAAGCTGTTGTTGTTCGGCATTCAGATAGTTGTCTAACTCCAAGATTACCACCACTGCTGTCTTTCACTACTAGTTCGGTTTTAGCACTATCATCTGGTGATAGGTGGGCTACACGCTGATCAATTACACTGACGGTCTCACAAGTATCTATACCTTCTGCAACCGTATCTGCCTTTAATTCTACTTCACTTTCAAGTTGCACAGAACCTTTGTTCAACTTAGCAGTAGTAGGCATATCCCTCATCTCATCATGATCGACCAAATACAAATGTGAAGTATCATGATCAGTATCACGACTATTCACTTTACCGTCAATTTCATCATTTTCAAACTCTTTAATAACAGAAGTAGACAATTTTGGTTCTTCCTCACAAATCCTTAAAGGTTTTATATCTTCACTCTGACTAGTAATACCTTGTAAACATGCGGAGTCAGAACTGTCCTCTGAGACTGTAACTGTCTTCTGTGACACTCTATTCAACAATGGCTTACCAGTTGCAACTACAGACTTCTTCACCTCACCGTTATCGTCACACAATTCGGAGTCAGACCTTGATTTCACATTTAGCTTATCACTGAACTTGCTCACTGATTCACAGTTCATCTTTGTATGCACTTCTTGCAGACGTGTAAAACACAACTTTGTTTGTCTTGCATCTTGTAACTTATCTGTTGGGGATGTTACACTCACTAAGTCTATATGCATTACCAGACACCATAGATCCTTCTTGATATCCACCTCTCTGAGACCCTTTCATCATCAATGATTGCGTTTTGCTCTCAGACTGCTCTATTCTAGGGGTGGGATGCAATATACTGGAAAACCTCCTCATAGATTGATTGACATTATCTTTTACCAGTTTCGGAATATCATCGAACTTTGACTCGATGCCTTCATCCTCTATACGGGGGCTTATCTTCACCCACTTCCTTTGCAGTCGAGTAGGTAGGCGTCTGGCTATTACCTTTAGGACGGAACTTGAGTTCAGATAGCTCGCGCAATTTATCGAAATAAATGCGTTCTTGTAAGTCAACAGATTATCCAAAATTTCAGAGAGTGCCTTGGAGTCATCTCCTGATTGACTACCATTACCTTTAAGAGTCTCGATTACGTTCCTTACAATCATCGAATGTCTTGCGAATCTTTGACGCAGTATACCCATTGCCTCAGTATATCCTTCGTTAGGGGGCATGAACTTACGGCACTCTATAGCTCTTGAAGCAACTCCAGTGCAGTACCTCAACAAATACATTAACTTCATTTCATCGTTTATTCCAAATCCACTCAGAATGACTTCAAACTCCTTTACAAATTGTAGATGATCAGCTGGGCTTCCATCGAAACACGGAGGCTCATATTTAGCTAGATCAATATTCCTATTGTCCCTAGACTGAGAAACATTAACATCAATCT